AGTGGGATGCTGTGCCTCCTTCCAACCCAGCTACCAACACTCAGCTGACATGGGACCCCTGCAGCCCCCTGGTTTGTTTTGAGGGTGATAATTTCTTCCGTGGTGTTTTGGCTGCCTTAAAAACAACATCAAAACAAAATATGCTGCTACTTGAGGACTATCACAACCCCACACCCATGTGTCTTGGGGCAGGCAGCACCCACCTCCATGTGCTGCATAGCCTCAGAGGAGGGGTCTGCTCTGCTGCTCCAGCTCAGCCTTGGGCATGCAAAGTCCCTTACTACAAATGGATGCATTTGCTTGTGAAATGGAGGGTGACTCTTCCTTCAGCCTCTTCTCTCATGCTCTCACTAGCTCAGGTTTCATCCCATGTTACTGGATTGTGTGTATACTTGGTGTTGGGCTGCAATCCCAATAGTTCCCCTGCCTGAGGAGCAGGCTGGAGCTTGGTGGCAGTATGACCCCTGGTTTTAGTTCTGGCGACCTGAGAAATGAGAGGCCAACTTCTTGAATGAGCTGCCTGAGGAGCCTGGGATAGGTCAGAGATTTCTTGAGCAGATCAAAAGCCAGAGATGTTTCCCTGACAGCCCCGGAGCTCCCTGTCAAGATTTATGAATTATATATGCTACATGTATTTAGCCAAAGAGGCTCATTGCAGGAACTGGGGCTGGTTTGTGTAAGCAGAGAAGAGCATGTGGCTTCAGAGAGCCACCACCTGCCAAGAGATACCACCTTGAATGTGCTTTCTGTGAAGCCATCAAAGTGCCTTGAGGGACGGTGGCAAAGGGAGTCCAGGAGAGTCACACCAAAAAATGTCAGGATATTTTAGCAAGCCAGAATTTTAATGGGAGACTGAGTTATGGGAAAACAGACCCAAACCTGGACTTGCAGCAGCAGACCTGCAGCCCTCCCTTGTTTCACAAATCCTCTTTCTCTTTCTTTGGAGCTTCAGCAGATCCCCTGGGGTACAGCTCTCCCTTCTTAAGTGCTACGTGCCCTGGCAGATGGTAAGTTTCATATCCTCTTTTGGAGGTTGAATGCCCAAAGGCACTCTACTGGGCTCCTGGGGCTCTTCATGCCCTGGGAGCCGTCGTCACACCAGTGACACTTAGCTCACATTCTTTAGGTTGTCTCAACAGCTCAGAGAGTTGTGGTGCTTTCCTCTCTGTGAGACAAGATTTTACTCACCCCCATGCTTGCATGACCTGACCTGAGCCCTGTTCGTGACAGATCACAAGGGAGACTTTCCTGATTCCGATACAAAACAGAGCAGGAAAACTCCTGTTTATTAACTTTAAGGCTGTAGTGTTTCCAAGTGCACAATACAGTAATCCTGATATCAAGTACGTAGCTTCTGAATGGGTTATAGTCTGCTGAGCAGACAGTCTTGCAGTCTTGAAGGCTTTGAGCACAAAAATTCACCACATCCTGAGCCTGAGTAATAACCTGTTGGAACAACTTTACTGTGTTGTGCTCTAACACAAAAGCACCCGGTTTTAACTTCCAGCATGTAAATCTTGTTTTCCCTGTGTCCCATAGAAGAGGAAGCCTTTTGCCAGAAAGCATCTTTCTGGGACCTGGTTACAGATGATGCCTAGCTCAGCTCCCAGCTCCCTCCTCTCCAAACCAAAGACACTGAAAGCCCTCAGCCCCTGCACTGTAAGACAGGTTTTGCAATCCCCAATGATCCTTGTAATTTTTTTTGTCTTAGGTTAGGTAAATCCAGAACTGTGCCAGCTCTCTGCTCTGGAAGGATTCCCCGCTCACCTGTGTGAGTTTGTGTTAGCGGTGGTGCAACTCCAGCTCCTGTCTGCACCTCCTGCTGAGAAAGCCACATAAAAATGCTGCCTTCCAGCAGCCACTGCCACTGAGGAGAAGTTGAAGGGTAGATTTTTGGAAACCTTGCTAGGGCTGGCCAGGGAAAAATGGGGAAATCCAGTAGCTGAAATCTCAGTCTGTCAGTCTACAGTCCTTTTCTCTATCACATATGGATGAAAGCAGTCAGATGTGCTGTCTGATCTCAACCATATTAGTGATAAAGGGATAGAGACAGGTAATGTGGAGCACAAATTGGGATCTCTCCTGCTCTCGTGTAAACCCTTACGGAGAGCAGCAAAGTCCCTAAGGATGCTCAGATGGAGTTATTCTGGGATAAGAGAGATGCAATCTGGGCCATGGCAAGTCTTGAATCTCTGTGTTATGAGGAGTGATTTTGCTGCTCTCACCAAGCTGAGTTGTGGGATTTATTGCTTGAAGAACAGCTGGATGTCTACTTTCCGTTAATTTGGGGAACCTGCTTTTCCCTTCTCCCTAAAGTCAATGCAAAGTGGGATCCCAGTGTACTTTACTGCCTCAGAATGACTGTAGGGTCAACCTTAGCACTGTATGTTCAGGGAAGTGGATGTAGCTCCAGAAGATGTCTATCATTGTTGAGCTGGAAAGCAAGCTTTGGCTTACTTTTTTTTCTCCCCATAGAGAGGCAAATTTTGTCATCATATCACTCATGTGACCTTTTGGATGAGCTTAGTAATCATAATATGCTTTGGTTTGGCTTCTTTCAGATTAAAACCCTTGCCTTTCAGAAAAAGGAAGCCATAAGTTAAATAACTCCAAAATTAGGTATTTCTGAAGGATAATTAGTGGTCTTCTTTCTTACCAAAAACAACCCAAGGCTGTGCTTTAAATAATACCTTGTAATAATTCCTTCAGTTCTGCTCCAAATGTGATTAATTTAGCAGGATGTTATCGGTATAGCGTCCTCCATTTCAAATCACACTTTAGGGTATTATCTACAATAAGGAATTCTATGTACCTCCATAACTTTCTGAAAAGTCAACCAGACCTTTTGTCCTAAGTCCCTCCATCTGGGTCTCTTTGCTTCAGGAGTTGCAGGAAGGCTTGTATTTGCCTACACACCGATAATATTCTTTCATTCCCTATTCCTGTAGATAGGGGGACCCCTGTAAAGTGAATGCAGATACAGATCCCTGCCCCCAGTTGTTTCACTTGGATGCAAAAATAGTGGAATTATAATCCTCCTACTTCATTGCTTTGAGCAAAAAGAAATTTCAGTTGCATTGGAATTTCCACAGCGAGGGGAATGGGTCTGTGTTTGTAAAAGAGTTCACTGTAAAAAGTGCCATTGTCCATGCAAATATATAAATATATGCTATATAGGGATATATGTGTGTATACACATACATAGGCACTGTATATACAGAAAGACACACACACATACTTAGAAGATGTGTATATAACACTCACTTATATACAAATCTATTCCTTGTTATAAAACAATCATCAAGATATAAACCAGAGAAGTTAAACCATGGATGGGCACATTTTCAAGTGCTGTTGAAGGGTTTTATCTACAGTATTGAAGAAGTGCTATCAAAACTGAAACAGGGCACTTATTACAAAGAAATCTTTACGTAAGTGCTGGAAAGGTTTGCTGACTAACCAGATGTTGTGCAAAGACACTTCTCCTCCCCCTCCCCACTTCTTTCCTTCTTTAATAGTTCGATTAATTCTGTGCATAAAGCGGGGCTGATAAAAGTTCTAAGCTGCAAACTTCATCACATCTGGACACCGTTGAAGCCAGATTATTCAGCGGCGCACTTCAGTTACTTTTAATCTCCCTCTATAAAATAAAAACTTCCAACAAGTAATGCTGACCTATATATATTTTTGCACTGTAAACACTGACATCTGCGAGCTGCTCCAAGCGAGAACGCAGAGCTTTTCACCAAGGCAATCGCTCGCCCTTTGCTGTAAGAGAAATACACAGCTGATGCAGTTGTAGCAGTGTATTCTACTAAACTCTCAGCTATTTCCAATCCTCCATCTAATTGCTGTCAGGGGAGAAATCAAAGATTAGCTATTTTGCTGGAGGAAGGAAAAATAAACGACCTTGCAGGGTATGTTGCTTAACATACTCTTTCTAACCAGAAACATTTTTGTACTCACAGAAGGAGAGCAGCAGCAAGGAAAGCAGACCCAGTCTTCTCCGGTAACCCATTTTCTGGATCCTGCCAGCAACCAGAAGCCCGGCTTCACGGCGTTGACCAATTCATCTTCCCTCGGTGCAGCCCGTCTTCTGCATTTCTGCTGTCAAGCCCGGAGCCCCGAGTTTGCGAGGCTCCCGGCTAGGCTTTCCGGGAAGGCGGATCCAGCCGCTAAAGCCCAGCTGTGTGTGGGGTCCGCCCAGGAACTGCAGTTTATGAGCAAGCTAAGCCCAACTCTCCTCTTGAAATACATACAAATATGGGAGGGGGGAGCCAGGGGAAGAAGCCCAGCTCTGAGAAAAAGAGTTTGATTTCTTTTTGTTCTGATGACAACGCGGAGCTGCTCCCAGATCCATAAAGTCTGAAGATCCTTGGAGGGGACCTAATGTCTGCTGCATGCATCTAATCAAAAAGGCATGGGTACTCCTGCATGCCTCTCTCATCTGAACTAAACACAGAAGGTAATGCTTCAATATGCTGAGCTGCCATTAATTTGCTACTTTTCCTCCCCCTTTTCGAAATTAACTCTATCTTTTAAATAAGCTTCAATGGGCTATATTTTTAATAGAGATAATTAGAAGTTTTAGGGCAGCTTTTTCAGAAATGCCACATCAATACAAGCTTAGCCTAAAGTAGGTGGTTTTGACCCATTAAAGCAGCAGGATTTAAACATATACTTAGATGTTTTCCTGAATCAGGGCCTAAAATAATAACATAGAGCATTTAAATAGCTGCTTTCTCCCCAAGATCTCAAACTGCTTTACAAAAACTTGTAAGAAATATTATCCCACTTACAAAAGGGAAACTGTGAAACGTAGCAGAAATCCAACTTTCCTTGGTTGTTAACACAATCAATCAGTGGCAAAAGGAGTAAAATCCTCAAACTCTTGCCCTATGATCTACCCCCATGCTGAAGACTGTTAAAATAATGATCTATGTACTCGTGTGTGGCAGAGAAAGAGAGGTTGTGATCAAGGTTTTTTGCAGCCAAAATGCATTCTCAAAGGTGAGTCTAATATTTTACAGTTATTGACAAATACATCAAATCATTTTTAGTGCATATGCAGCATTCTAACTTAGTGATTCTCCAGCTTTTTATTTACCCATTTTACAATTAATCTTTCAGTTCATTAATCAGTATTTGGCGGATACATAGTGTATTTGTATATGCTCATATGTGATCATTGTTAATGAGCATTTCACTCCATTGAACTTCAAGGTCCTTTCTTTGTATGAATCTATCCAATAAACTGCACCCACTACTTTCATAAACTATTTATAGTAGTTATTCTGTTAGGGAGGTGAATAATAATAGTATCTTTTTTCCCTTCTTCTGTATTTAAAAAGTAAAACCAGGAGGTGTTAGAGGAGGTACAGAGAGAGCTGATAAAGTGTGTTTCCTATGACACAGCTACACAAAGCATGTCCCTGCAGAGAGTTGCTTGGTGTGCTCGGACCTGCTTCAGGGTGCCCAGATGCAAGCTATCTTAGCCTGTCCTCCATGGAGAAATGGCCATATGCACCTGGAATAAAAGAGCAGAGAGCCGGATGAATGCCCTGAAGATACTGCCTGGGGTACACAGAGAAGATACCTAAGGAAGATCTGCCTGACCAGGGGAGCTGCCTCTTGCTCACAGCACTGGAGGACATTGACTTGATTCCTAAGCAAGGTGCTGCAGTGCTGTCCCTCACTAGGTTGTCTTTACATCAAACTGGGCATCTTTCTGTGTGCTGTGTAGTATTAATCAAGAAGAAATGGGTTGGCCTGAGTTACAACAGCTGAGGTATGGCCTTTGAGGGCTAAGGACATGAGCAAATATTTGGCAAACTTTTAGAAAGACATTATTTTCCAATAAGCATATTGAAACTGCTGTGTGCACAGTGGTTTCTTTGGGTGACCTCCCAGATCTCCTCTTTCTGATTCAAAGCATTTCAAAATACTCACAGGTCGCTCAGACTACTGGTTGGACTTTCACATGTGAGCCCTTCTGTGTGTTACAAGACAACTGGATACGGTCTGTGTTAGGAACGTCACAGATTATTCATGATCCATGGGAGCCCTCTTTAAAATCAGGAAGAATCCCCTGCTGCCTATGAAACTCAGAGAGAAATAATGTCCCCAGCAGGAGCCCGGAGGGGCTTTAAACAACGGTGGGCATTGACAAAACATGCTGTATGATTTGGAAGTGCAAGGGATATTATTTTTTTAGCAGCAGAACTTGGGAAGGCAGCAGGAAGCCTGCACAATGTCCCTGCAGCCAGAAACCCTGAGCTGCGGGAGCTGTGTTTTCCAAAAACCCAGTCAATCCCAAACAACTTCTGAGCCAAACTGAACCCTGTTGAATGCTTCATCCTGTCTGCAGAATAATCTTAGGGAGAGATTTGGAGCTGGAGCTCACCAAAATGAGAGGAAAGGCAGTAGCTGTCCCATGCAACAGTATCTTTACAAGGCAGTTGGGTTTCCACAGGAAGCTCAGCAAGGGGAAGCTTTTGGTGAGTGGTGTTTGTCCCGCTCTTCCTAAACTGCTGTGCTTATTTCTAGATGGTGCTGGACCTGCTGCTTGGAAAAACATGGTGTTGTAGTGACTTGGGCAGGGGTTTGCTTTCATAAACTGGCCGCTGGGCTCTGCAGGCTGCTTTCTGCATGGACAGAACCTGCCTGTTGAGCCCTTGATGCATGTAAGATTGCACAGGGCTAGATGTACCCTCTTGTAACCTGCATTTTCAGTCCACTGAGCTGAGGCTATTGTAAGCAAACCTCATGCAAAATAGGAAGAACATGAGGATGGGAGGTTTTTTCTTTCCTACCACAATGGCTGAGTAACCCTGGGCTGAGCAGGGAACCACGAAGCATGTGCCCCACTGACCTGGACTTTTTTCTGACCAACAGCTCTATTCTGGGGCCCCTGCTTATTTCTCAGACTTATCCAAGGAAAAAATGTGAACTAAAAATCCACCAAATATACTCAGGGGAAAGTGAGCAAGTACTCGCCTAGCCTAAAGTGCCTAAACTCACATTATAGAGCCTTGCTTCCATGAGAGAACACAGTGACCTCTGGAGTGAGACACTGGGGAGGAAGAAGAGATAAATGGTTATTTTTATTGTTGGCTTGTTTATTCCTTTTGGTGTAAATTCCCCTGCTCCTCTATTAGTGGTCTGGACAACCTCATAACTCAAGACACACTGAAGGCTGGATTTAGGCTGAGGAACATAAGGTCTCTGCAGGGTGATTTTTAAGTTGCGTTGTGGGAGCAGTTTTCCCAAAGTTCTCATTTGGGAGATAGAAGATATTTACTAGAGAAGTAAAATAAAACTTTGGACACCTGAAACAATATAGCATATATTTAAATGAAGGTTTCAAACAGCCTGGGGGTCCACTGTGGGAGGTAAGGCTCTGCAATCAATCAATAGATTTGAAGCTCCTAAGTTAGGCACTAAACACTCTTGTGCAGGGTACCATCATGATGGACAAGTGCCAGACCCAGGTGAGTCAAACCTCTTATTTTTCCCAGGGGCAAAGATTACCTTCATGTGAGAGGAACATGAAGGGAGGGAAGGGGAAGAAGTTAACCACATAGCCATGCCCTGGACAGTTCTAATGCAAGGGCCAATGCCTCTGAGCTTCCCTGAACCTCCTCCATGCTTGCTGAACCCCAGAGATGATAGCAGGGGCATTGGGTTTAAAATGACTGACCACAACAAAAGATGCTGGGTTTACTTCTGCAATCATATATTCTCTTGACCCTCTTGATTTCTTTCATGTTACATGACTCAACTAGTATCTATTGAGTTTGCTTTGTTCTTTTTCAGTTTGTTACTATCAGTATCAATGCTGGGCTTCAGATAAGCTCCATGAGTGTTTTTGTTGTGAAGAGGATTTGCTTTATATGTTGAAGTTTTAAAAGGCAGGTCTAAGGAAAGTGGCTACCTGATAGGATCAGGACTCAGCTTCTACTAGTAAGTACAAATCCATACTCTTAATTTATGTGCATATATTGTGCAGTTTTATAGAACTACTCCCATGTTGTCCTGGCAGTTAATTAAATGCCAAGAATTTCAGTTTCATCACTTCTGCATCTTATTAGCATGGCCTTGGTTTCACTGTGCCATCAGCAACAGTTGCCTGAATCTGCATTCACAAGGACACTGGCTCCAGTCCTGGGAGGGTTGAATAAATTCAAACACCATTGCCTGGTGGGCACTAAAGGTGCCTATACCTCTCTGGGAAAAATTCTCATTACCTTCCCACTGACTGCTTCATACAATTCTGGTGTTTGAGGTCACTTACATGGTACAACAGTTTGTGCTCTCTATCACTTAAGGGAGTGACTTCACCTTTGTCATTTTCCATTCTCTTGCTGCAGCTTGTCCCAGCAATAGTGTGGTAACCTTTCATGATCAGGTAGCACAAGGAGTACAGTCGAAGCTGGCAATGCCTCCTGAGGGACACAGCTATACCTCCTTTGGACACAGTGGCTCTGTCTGCATTGACACAACCATTCCTCCGAAGCCCTGCTAACTTCCCCATCCTCCTGCCTCTCAGCTAACACTTGTTTTGGGAGTCACACAGGATAAATGCATTTTCGAAGTGATGCCTGACTTTTGTTGGAGTTGTTCCGTGGTCCAGAAACAAAGGCCTGACTTCCAGCTTCTTTTAGACTGCATGCAACAGGCTCCTTCACCAAAGCTGCATTAAGATTAAGTAAAGGTCTAATTTGCCCATCTATGTAAAGTGTTAGAGTTGGTGGGTTTTTTTGTTCAATTCTGTCCTAAGTCTTACTGTTATCTTCCCATGAAGTTTTGAATTTTTCTCGTGGCTTGTTTTGTGCTGCTTTTGAAGCCATTTTTAGTAAATTTTTGTTCATACTATTGATGTGTTTGTACAGATCCTCTCAAAAATGTGATTAGTTTTAGCTTTCTTGTTTGTATTCATGGATCCAGATCTGCCAGTGCTGAAATGCATGGAGACCCCTGCTACCAGTTTCAGACCGAGTGGGATCAGGTGATCTCCCTCACACCAAAAGACATCCATATTTCTTTTCCACTCTCCACTTATCCTTCCATGATGTTTTCTTTCTCTGAATAATTAACAATTTTTTTTTTTTTGTTACTTTTCTTACTGTTTAGGGGCCATTTCATACAGACATTTATGTTTATAAGGAGCCTGAACTCATGTGAGGAGAGGATTTCCCATGTATTCTTTCTGAACTTACTTTTCCTCCTGCACTCTTCACATTGAAGCAGCTACTTACACATTTTACTGACAGTTCCTTGATGTTCATTCCTCTGTGTTGTTTTCTTAGGGAGCCTAAGCAAGCACTATTCTTTGTTCCATCATACAAATGACGTGACATGCAGACAGATGCCAGGATCTTCAGTGAAGATCAGCCTTTGAAGACCAAAGCACAAGATGGCATCACTTCAGCTGTTGGATGCCTCCAGTTAGCAAACGCCTTCGGGTCTGAAGGAATTAACCTGTAGAGAGAGGCATGAGCAGTCTGACAACCTGACTCTTGATCTTTGCATTATTATTACTGGTAGTGAAATTATGGTAGGATCTGGGAGCCTGAACCAAGGATCAGGAATGTGCTTTTGAAGGGAAACTCACAGCCATCATGCTTTGGCTTGCACTACAAGGCAGTCTTAGGACACACAGATGCTGAATTCTCTTTCAGCAGCGGCTAAACTGGAAGGTGCGACGGGTGGCCAGTCCCTGGGAATGGGCAAGAGGCACCCTAGAGAATATCCCCTAAAATATGTGTGGTGTGATGGTAGTCTGCAGCTCCAGCTGTGCTGCTCCATGAGCCTACTTGTACTGCACCTCACTGCTTGCAAGCACTGGCACTGCCAGACACTGCACCATCTCGTAGATGCGTGCCTTTCATCAGCAGGAATATTGGCCAGTTAGCTCGCTCTTCCTGAGGTTATTGAAAGGCCATGGTTGTTGTGGAGCAGAAGCAAAGCATAGTCACTGCTTTAGGTGTTTTCATTTAAGTTCTCAGTAGCAAAGAGATGGTTGTTGGTGATGGCTGTATTTTCATTTAATTCTAACTACTTCTAAGAAGTTGAAGGCATAAGGAACTCTAAATGAAGTTGTTACTGAAAATTAGTGTTGTAACGAAGGGGAATTGTCTGAAAAAATTCCCATTACTATGGCATTTATTTTTTGTTTAGGGTATGTTATTTGCTAGAACAAGCCAGGCTGTCAATAGATTCAAACAAGAAAGATAACATGCATAACCTTACACAAAGCATCAGGAAGCTAGTTACAAGGTAAGTGTAAATGCTTAGCTTTCTTGAGTAAAAAAGCAGTTTATCCAGAGTAACGGTAGGATTACAAAGAATGGACTTACAGATTAGAAAAAGATGGTGTCCCTGTTTGCCAGAGACTGTGGTGGAAGTCAGGAAGAGCTGAGAGAAGGGCACCTGGGAGCAGGGCAATGGGGCAGTCTGCTGCTTCTGCATGGAGTCATGGCTTAGAGAAAGTGTACTAAAACTTGCACAAAGAAGCACCTGTGTTTGGAGTATTGCTTTCTCTCCTATAAGATATGTAACTCTCTGGTAAGGAAGTCAATAGTGCTTTCATGTGAAAAGGTTGCTTCTGAGAAAATTTACCTCTCCAATGACAATTTCAGAGACTAAAGGGACTTGTAGGTAGGAAGCTGATTTGAACTTGGCTTCTTATGGTTGCTAAACAAACACCTAGTGAAGAGCAGGAGAGTGTCCTGGTTTCAGTAACCTGCAGGAAATCGGACTCACATCCTGACAAGCAGGGGTTTGAAGAGAGCCTGACTGCACTAGAGCTTGTCCCTAGCTAGGGGAGGAACACTACAGCTTTTTTGACAAAGTAGCACAGCTTCTGGAGGTACTCCTGAAAGCAGTACTGTGCTGGGACCCTTTCTCTGGGAAGAAATACTGCTAGCCTCCTTTGCAGGCTGAAGTGGTGAAATGTGGCCCAGGAAGAGCACTTCATTGGAGGCTTTGGTGCTCACTGAAGACCTCTTCATTGCATAGGACATCTCACATACTCCTCTAAAGCTCCCCACGCTATAACGCATGTGAGGGCTACCCAGGCTGTTGGGTGTCTTGATTTAAGCACTTCTGTCATTGCCCTCCTCCTCCATACGTAGTGTTTTAACTCTTCTCCGCATCTCTTAGTAGCATGAAGAAAACTCAAAGCTGAAAATAGCTTTTGAAACGACTGATGTTAGACCTGAAAATATGACTGTACTTTTTGATAATGTTGTTTCCATAATAAAAATATTTAATACAAAGTCTGATATCCTGCATGAGCTTCACATAAATATTTCCATTATATCTCTGATATGGATCAGAAAAATTTCAGTATACACATCCTGCAAATGCAAGTGTAATTGATATAACGTATGTATCTTATTGTACATCTTGAGTAAACATAAGAAAACCATGCCCTAATGGAAAACAGACTTTGTCTTACAATGTGCAATCATGCTTTTACATCTAAACTGGACTTTGAGTTTAGAAAACAAATCTTAAATCAGTCCTATTCAGAGGACAAATCACAGCTCACATACTTGTTAAAAACTTTTGTTCTAGGAAAGCCTTTTGTGGAAAAGCTTGTGAAACTCCATCCAGCTACATTAGTGGAGGGGTGGGAAAGAAGGGATTGAGGTATCAGTTCAAACAATCTGAGGAAAAAGTTGAATAAACATTAAAGACAACAGAATAGAAACCAGACGCCAAATATTAATTCATGGGGGTCTTCAAAGGGGACTTGGGGATTTATTTTAGTTGTTGTTGAAAGAAAAAGATTAATTTTTGGATGAAAAATCTATGCAAATTCAGCTCTGGTCAACACTAAAAAAAAAAATTTCCTCCTCAGAGCAGAAAAAAGGCAAAGCAAAAAACCCTGTAATATCAACTCTTTAATTCCCTGAGGTGGCCTTTAACCTGGGTTTGAAAAGGGCAGGAAAAGAAAAAAGCTACGTGAGAATAATAAAAGACATAATCAAAGAACAGGAATCTGGTGCAAAAATGGGAAATCTTAGGGAAACAATGTAATATGTAAACCAGAGAATGGTGGGGCTGAACGAGTGTCCAAAATGATGTCTGGCATACAAGTAGTAAATACGAAGAACTCCTCCGCCCTGTTTGCTGGCTCCATGAACACTGTGTGGGCACCATGGGATTGTGATGGAGTAAATCCAAAGACTATAGTAATGAATATATATAGGATCATAGAATCATAGAATGATAGAATAGTTAGGGTTGCAAAGGACCTTAAGATCATCTAGTTCCAACCCCCCTGCCATGGGCAGGGACACCTCACACTAAACCAGGTCACCCAAGGTTCTGTCCAATCTGGCCTTGAACACTACCAGGGATGGAGCATTCACAGCTTCCTTGGGCAACCCATTCCAGTGCCTCACCACCCTTACAGTAAAGAACTTCTTCCTTATATCCAATTTAAACTTCCCCTGTTTAAGTTTTAACCCGTTACCCCTTGTCCTATCACTACAGTCCCTAATGAAGAGTCCCTCCCCAGCATCCCTATAGGCCCCCTTCAGATACTGGAAGGCTGCTATGAGGTCTCCATGCAGCCTTCTCTTCTCCAGGCTGAACAGCCCCAACTTTCTCAGCCTGTCTTCATACGGGAGGTGCTCCAGTCCCCTGATCATCCTCGTGGCCCTCCTCTGGACTTGTTCCAACAATTCCATGTCCTTTTTATGTTGAGGACACCAGAACTGCACACAATACTCCAGGTGAGGTCTCTGGAGAGCAGAGGGGCAGGATCACCTCCTTCGACCTGCTGGTCACGCTCCTTTTGATGAAGCCCAAGATATGGTTGGCTTTCTGGGCTGCAAGTGCACACTGAAGCTGGCTCATGTTCATTTTCTCATTAACCAACACCCCCAAGTCCTTCTCCACAGGGCTGCTCTGAATCTCTTCTCTGCCCAACCTGTAGCTGTGCCTGGGATTGCTCCAACCCAGGGGTAGGACGTTGCATATATATATATATATTTATATATACATGTATTGATATATTAACTGCTGTTGGGTAGGAGCTGTCGGGCAGAAACGCACAGTAAGGATTGTCCCTGCTTGATGATAAGACACAAGACAGTTGAGGCTTTTATTACATAAATGACAGGGCTGAACTCCAGAGATTTTAACTACTCAGGTACCTCCCGATGAAGTGTGGCAGGGTGGGTCACTCTTTGGTGTTAGCCGGCAGGTATGGTGGGCAGAGAACACTCTTCTGGATGTTGTACCACTGCTGGGAGGGAGTCGATGGGGAAAGCAGGGCAGACGGGAGGGTTAATGAAAGCAAACAGCATGATTGAGTCCTTTGGTGCTTGTAAAGGAGCGAGAGCAGGGAAGTAAAGGGCTGATGGGCTTTAAAAAAATAACCCGAGCTGCCTAATGTTAACCAACATCCTGTGGGAAAGTTAGCAGCTGCTGAAAGCGGCTCTATAAAACAAAATGACAAGTCATCCTGCTACGGACGAAAGATAGACATGGCATGGGTGCATCAGGAACTCTTCAGTGACCCGCGAAATAAGAGAGGAACAACAACAAAAATGAACGTTAGAAATAAACATTCACAACTCTATGAACGAGGGTAAGCGCCCGGGGCACGGCAGGAGGTCTGTCCGTCTCCTGGGCTGGAGGCTCACGCTGCCTAGCTTTGGGCGAGCGGAGCAGTATGACAACGAGGGGTGGCTTTTACCCTGTGTTCATGAGGCGGTGGCCACCGCCGGGTACCTAACGGGGCAGTTCTGGGCAGAAAGGCGTGCAGGACGTCTACAGCCTGCAATGGGCTCGGATCGAGTCAATCGATGAGCACCGGCCGAGGCGGGCCGGACCGCCTCACCCAGCACCCCAGCCTCGGCCCGGACCCACCCCCCGCCCCGCCGCTCTCTCTAGGACCTGCGATGAGTTTGCCCGCCGAAGTCGGCCTCAGCGCCTGCGCGGAGGGAGGCGGTCGAGCCCGGTATCCCCATGGAGAGCGCAGAGGCCGAGCTGAGTGATAGCCGCTCGGAGGAGGACGGCGCCGCACCCTGCAGCGGCCTCCCGCCTCCGGAGCAGTCCGCAGCTACGGTGAGGGTGCGGAGGGTGGCGGCGGCGGGGCGGAATCCCTCCCGCGGGCTGTCGGCCTCGGCACGGCCTACTCCGCCGGGGCTGAGCACCGGCCTTTCCTGAGTATGCTGCCCGGCCGCCGTGCCGCTGGCCCTGGGCAGGTGGGGAGGGATGCGGGGTTCGGAGGGCAGCCCAGCGCTGCCCGCGGCGACGGGAAGGGGCTACAGGTGGGGATGGGCCCTCCCGCTGCCTGCCTAGGGCCGAGCCCCCTGCCTGGGGGAGCTAGGGGCAGAGCTGT